TTTCAGTTGTATCTGGTTTAGCCACAAAGGGCCGAATAAGTGTTGGGAACCTGGGTCCACAAGAGACAGTTGCATCATTGGCCTTGTTAGAACTACAGACAACTTCTCACACCAGGTTACATGTTTGACACCTCACCTTCCCTTTCCCAATAAGTTAAAAAGGAAAAAGGGAGAAAAAAACATGCAAGCAGCTTAGGTACACTACGCACCTTTCAGAGATTGAGTACAATTCAGATAGGTGCTGGTGCATAATACAACAGCTAGACCAGTTGTCACAAATGGCTAGAGCAACAGACTCACTGAGCATGCAACAGGATATGAGGGTTCCTGCACTAGAGAGGTAAGAGTTTGCCAAGGCATAGGTACAAGATCAATTTTGTTGGGTAGGTGCAAATAAAAAACGAAGGGCAGGGAGGACAGAGAATGAAAAAAACAAAGAAAGAGGAAAAATTCAAAGGATAAGAAGGGGGTGGTGCAGGTGGTTGTGCAGGAAGAGGCAAGTGGGGGACAAATGGTAGGTGGTTGTGCAGAAAGAGGCAAGTGGCGGACAAATTTAACGAACAGCCGGGAGGAGGAGAAGACAAATGGTAGGTGGTTGTGCAGGATGCTGCTTACGCCCTGAGACACCAACTGAAGAAGAACAACAAATATCAAAGGATAACATCCAGGTTAAGGTACGCATCAGTGACTAGAGGACAAGGAGATGGACCAGTAACTGAAAGCCGTGTCTGAAGCTAAGGCGTTGTGTGCCACCTCAGAGCAAAGGTAGCAACAAGAGAGAGAGAGGGTGATGCCACTACACCCGTCAGAGCCCTAGATGATGTCGAGGAAGTTGCATGAGAAGCGATACAATGTGGCAATTTGGAGGGTTGAGTAAAGGAGTCATTGTGTCACATACATGTGAGAATTCACAAGTGTGGTGGAGAATCGAGAGTTGATCAACAAGATACGGAGCAAGTGAAATGCAGTGGAAGACTGATGCACAAAGATCTGACTCACGACTCACACGGATAACATCCACTCATCATCATCAATCAACGAGTTATTCTTGGTCTGAGATGCTGCTCTATTCTAAGTTTTTTCAACATGACTATGATTCACGACATGATTCTCTGTGCTGGATGTAGAAATTATGTTGGCTACGTTCGGACGAGGTTCTTCTAGATCTTTAGTTCCATATTTTCTGTATTACGCAGACTGCACAGGACCACGTGGTCAAACAACATCCCAAACCAGTTCCTAAACCCAGGTCGGAAATAAGATCCTGAAGACATGCTATTTCTGAGAACTTGTTTACCACATACTATTTCAAGAATTCAATTCGTATGTGTACCAACTGAGGTAGGTCAATCATGAATTAAAGGGGAGTTTTGATCTTTCATACACCTCCTTCACTTGATTTTGAACCAATCATCTTCGGTGTCGATCTTTACTGAAATTCCTACACAACAGAAAAAAAAGAGTGTGTTAACACTAAAGTTTAATGGGGACCTTTGTGTATAACATCAAATTTTAATCAGTTTATAAACTGTTTATCTTTATGTTCATGTTGATAATCATGAAGGAGGTTAACCTATATCTATAATCAATGATCAAATCGGATATCATTGTTTGACAATTTTTTAATTGTTTACAAACAGGTCATCGACTGTTTATCTTCTCTCCCATCTGTTGAAAACCTGTTGATAAACTGTTGAAATCATGTTGAAATCCAGTGTTGGTGGTGATGTTGCAAAATTATGCAAAAAAAATCTTGAAAATCGGTTCAACTTTTTATATAGGGATTATTTTAAGAGTGGGATGAATTGTCTTCGATGTGTAGTCCGCATTGATGTCATGTATCCAAATTTTTTCCAGCTCCAATTTTGTCTTTGGTAACCCTTAACGAAGTTTCTCTTTCGTGCGTGTTAGGTTGAGTCTATTTCTTTCTTTGTCTGTGTGTGTGTGTGTGTGTGTATACGATATATATATATATATATATATATATATATATATATATATATATATATATATATATATATATTGGGTTCAGCCTCCTGATGAGTCGGTGAAACTCCGACGAAACAGTTTGTCACAGCCCCTCGTTTGTTGTNCGAAACAGTTTGTCACAGCCCCTCGTTTGTTGTCCTCTTCTCTCTCTCTGCTTATGGTTTACCGGGCAGTTCTATTTGTGACGATATATATATATATATATATAGAGTCAAACAGAGTTGTCCTGGGTTGGAGGCAGAGAGGGGGAAAAAAACAACAAACGGGTAGGGGCGAAAGTGGGGTCACTATTTCGTCGGAGTTTCACCTACTCATCAGGAGGCTGATATATCTTACAAGAAAAAAACATGAGATGTCTTTGAACAAAAAAATTGGAAGTGGTCGGTAGATGCATAGTAAAACAAAGACAATCAACATCTGCAAAGACAAATTCCTATGCACCTACCGACCACCGCTTTGTTTGTTGTGTGACCTTAGGAAAACAACATTGAATTTATAGAGATGTCTTTGAATAAAAAAAATGGAAAGTGGTCGGTAGGTGCATAGTAAAACAAAGGCAATCAATATTTACGAAGACAAATTTGCATGCACCTACCGACCGCCACTTTGTTTGTTGTGCAACCTTAGGAAAACAACATTGAATTTATACCAAACTCTCTCTTTCTCTCTCTCTCTCTCTTTCTCTCTCTTTCTCTCTTTCTCTCTCTCTCTCTCTCTCTCTCTCTCTCTCTTATGAAAACTTCGCTTTTGTAAACTTTCATTTATGTACATGAAAAACCATTTTGCGTTGTCATGAATAATTATCGATATGTCTGTAGTCTGCAACATACCCACCCACGCACTCGGCCACATAAGATACCATCCAAATATTTGGGAGTGGAATCGAGAAGTAGTCTAGATACTTATGTGCCAGTAGAGAGCACAATGCACCAAGATACCATTAAACTCAGAGCAATACAATGAACTCGAATGTCAATGTCAACGCTCTCTGGCCTCACCAACACAGTATTAGTTGTCACTCCTACTGATTTCTTCCCAACGCCCAACCTATGCTACTCAACCTATTTACGTCTGCCTACGTTCTTGCAACTAGATCGCATCGAAGTTGAAGGCCAATGTACGTGACGTCATCAAAAAACCGAACACCAGCAAACACTAAGTACGTTCTCTTTTCTCCCTTCTGCATATGCCTCGTATCTAAAGACCACCATCGCCATCAACTACTACCCGCACGCACAACCCGACTATGGATGTCGTGCGCCCACTGCCACTGCAGCACCCTCGCACCTCATGCGCCCACATGCGCCCCAGCCTGTGTGCTTCGCGCAGTCTGGCGCAACAAAGCAACACCGTGGCAATGCCTGCTCAGGCCAGAATGTCGTGCCCATGAGCTCACACTTTCTTATATGGAAAGTGCGCCCTACCGCTGGCCTCCCTGTACCTGGTGTGGGTCCCAGTAGCTTCAAGTTGGCCCAAAGTGTCTGCGCCTCAGGCCTAGTTTCAAACATTGGTCCGGACACTGTGTTTGAGGGCACGTTCAGTTAGTCCTCCACGCTCAAAGTGTTTGCCGCATTTTTGTTGGTCCGTGGAAGATGTGTGACGAGAATGCTGCGTGACCCGTGAAAGATGTGTGACGACAATGCTGCATTGCCATTGGTCCACTGCCACTACATGTTGTGTCGGCCTCCCACTATGTGTGCAGAGGGTGCAACCAACTAAACCCTGGGCTCAATTGTACAACGCAGTTGTTGCTTCTAAAATGAGCCACAAAAGGCTCATGTTGTTCTGTAACCAACCGGTGTGTGCAACTATCTGATACCCCACATACAAAAAATGTCGAAAATAGGCCTCTCGTGGATGTACAGACACGCCTTCACTTAGGGTGGGTACGAGGCTTGCTGCGGGCGGAACCAAAAACATTTGCATGCCTGAGAAGGTTCCCGTTCAACTTTTTGTTTTACAGTCTCGTCGTCCTGCAGAAATAACATGCACATTTCATAGCAAAACAAAACGAGACACCAAAGAAAATGAACAACGTCAACACCGCTACTCATTTTTCTTTCTCGTTGATATCATATGTTTAATACACTATATAAAGTACACTTAGACATTGAAAAACAATATTAGTGAGAGAGAGTCGGGACGGATATACGAATTTAAGGTTGGACGCATCAAGTGCGGCGATATTAGTATGAACCTATTGAAAAATAGTCCTTCATTTCAGATAATTTATCAAACACTTATTTAATTTTACATTTTAGTGTATGTTTATATTTGTGACAAACAAACATCTAAATAACAAAGTCTTTCAAAATGAAGTCAGCGCTTCTAAACATGTGTTCCGTAGGAAAGGTCGGTAGGTGCATACTACATTAACGCTAGACATATAAATTGTACAAAAATTAATATGCACCTACCGACCAATAGAAAAATGAAATTAACAGATTACTATTTCTTTAGTGTAACCTTCATGTACATACATTTTTTTTTCAATGAATGTGGATAGGTCGCACCTCCAATCCCCTGCGCGAAAAAAAGACAGAAAGAAAGATAGGGAGAGAGAAGGAAGGAGGGTGCGTCTTTGCAATTATTTTTTCCCCCTTTGCAACGTTGTCATTTCTTTCGCTTTTTTCATAGCAATGAGAGAGAGAGAGAGAGAGAGAGAGAGAGAGAGAGAGAGAGAGAGAGAGAGAGAGANGAGAGAGAGAGAGAGAGAGAGAGAGAGAGAGAGAGAGAGAGAGAGAGAGAGAGGGGTTGACTACTGCGGGCCACCGGCACACGCATCGATGTGCATGTGTATTTTTGGCCCGCAGTAGCCAACTTCGGTCAACATCAGAATGGCGATCCATCCAACAGTTTCTTTGTTCGTGGCGATTGTCTCTATATCTGGGTCCGGAATAGGGCTCTCTCTCTGTGTCTCTGTCGCAACCGTTTTATATGTATTTACTTGCATGCGTTCTGGCGTTCATGTCTTGCTTAATTCCTGGTTCTGACGCTTGCAGAGTAACAGGGGAGGGGGCGAAGGGGGAGAAGCGACACGGAACATAGAGTAACAGGGTGCAGGTAAGAGAAGGGGATCAACGATGGCAGAGTCGCACAACAGTAGTAATTGGTCGGCCGTTGCGAAGGGGCCATACCAGCGCACCGAAACGGGTAATGGTGCCAGGGACGGAAAACCGTTGTTGCCATCGAGGAGCCAGAGGTCAGCACAGAGCTGGCAGGACATGTTATCAGACCCATGGTGCGCGAAAATGTACGATTTACTGACTGAGGGTGCAGCAGAGTGGCTCCAGTCCTGCGGGGAACAGTCTTTCTGTTGTATGGGAAAACGGAAAGCAGGGGACAAGACAAGAGTGAGAGATGAGCAGACCGACATCACTGACGTGGTCGAATTGTTCCCTTTTACATGGAAATCTCCGCAACACGCCATACCCGTATCAAAATCCGACATTGAACGGTTGTCGGAAGACGGATGGCTGAACGACAATATTATTGACATTTATTTGCAGTCTGTGTATGAAGAGGTTGGGCGGGGCCAGGACAGGTCTTATGTTCATGTCTGCATAACTTTCTGGCACCCCGAGGTCGTCGCCAATCAAAAATTTGGAAATGACGAAAAAAAGATGGGAGGACGCAATTAAGAAGAGACCACAAAAATTGCATCGACTGAGCAACGAACTGCGACGCGCGCCGGTCACTGTGATACCAGTGAACCGTAACAAACACTGGATTCTTCTTTTGTTGCTGAATGCGAGGTCCTTCTTGGAGGTCACTGCGGACAGCCGCATATCCGACCCTCCCATTGCTATCGTCGTTGACTCAATGAGAGAAAAAAACCGAGACGAATGGACGGCGTTGTGAACACTTTTGTGGCACGAGTACCTTCACGAGGCATCGAATTTGCAGGCTTTGAAACCCAAAAAGGTTCATTTTTCGTGGGTGACATGCAGGGATCTGGAAGGAAGTAAACTTGTGCATGCGGAATGCCCGCAACAGAACAATCACACGGACGGTGGTGTTTATGTGTGTTGTATCGCTACCACCGTAATACAATTTCTTGGAAGAACCGCGACAAAGGATCTGACGGCCAAGGACGTACTGGAAGTTATCAAAACT